TATATATATATAGTGTGATGTAAGTGATTTCTATGGTGCATTTCAGGGTGGTCTTGATTTCTTTCCCATCTTTTTGGTAGCACAATCTTTTATTTCTTTAGAGCTGTTTTCTATAATAGAGCATGATTGTCTCCCTTTTTCTTCTTCATTTATCTAATTTAAGATTTCATCACTTCTCCCGTCTCTTTCTTTCTTCTCAGCCTTTGGATTTGCGTGAATAAATGATTTTAGGAATGGTGGGTAATGATCTGAATGCTCATCAGTCACTGGGTGAAATCCAGAGGGTTTCTTCCTTCATTTATATTTATTTATTTATTTTAAAGCATCAGACACTGATGATTTGATTAATAATGCTGGATGCACAAAGTGACGAGCACAGAAGTTTTTTGTATTCGGCGTTCTGCAGAGCTAATGGATCTAAAAATGCAGAATGGATCCCATGGGAAGACATTGTATTTTTAGAAGAAATGTGTTTTTCTTGTGGTTTGACAATCAGATCAAGCTGAAAACATCAAAACAAATGCAGGACTGAATTGGACCCAACGATAGTTTAGCAGCACTTTGATGAATATTCCGATTTGTGAGAATGACACAAAGAATTAGAGCATCGTTAAAAAAAAGATTTTTACCAGCAGAATTCACTTGAACGTATCATTTTACTCCTGCTGCGTTGAACCCATCTTTCTCTTTCATAATCCCTCCATTCTCTCCATCCCCTCCCCTCACTCATTATTTACCCTCCACCTGCTGTGTGATTTTTCTCGTTTACTCTTGCCATCCTCCTCTCAATCTCTCACTTCCTCCTTCCTCAGCCTCTCCGCTCCATTATTTCTCCTGTCCTCCCCACATCCCTTGCCCTTCTCATTTCCCTGACGCCTCCTCTTCCTCTCCTGCTGTCCTCCTGAGGACGATGTATGCCTCTGCTCCTCCAGAGGCGATGCTGATGGCGACCTGCACCTCGTATTGATTACTTTGATTGTGACACTAATCATCCCAGCCTTTCTACGCTTCTCCCACTGTTTGTCCTCCTGAAGCAGAACCAAATGGTTACGATTTAGGGATTAAAAACAAACGAAAAAGTGAAGATGGTGAAGAATAAACAAACAGTGCAAACACATAGAGATTGATTAGAAATGTGTGAAATGACCAGAAGAACGCAGAGGGAGCGATGGGAAACATTTGTGGTCAGGAAGTTTTAGGGGCAAATACTAACGAGTGAAGGAGAAATTAAAATGACACTAATGGTTTTTCTTCTGCGAAAAACGATACAAAAACATATAATCAGAGACAGAGTTAAGACAACTGCATGAAGATGCAACAAAATATTATTAGGAGAAGTTGTGCTTTCAAATTAAAAGCAAACATTTAATAAATCTGCTTCAAACATTGCATTCTTGGAGCTCCCTGTGCAGCCTGCGCTGTCCTGGAGCGTTCAAGGTTCACCCAATTTGGGGGTTTTGCGCACCCCGCTGTGGTGGTAAATTCTGTTTAAACTTATTTAAATTTAAACTTTAATGTTTCAAAACTACATGAAATTGCCATTTAAAGTCTACTGATTTAAACTTTAGATGCTTTAACTAAGCTGTCCATTCTTAATATTTTGATTTTCAAATGTAGACTTTCTTGCCTCAACTTTAAAAGATAAAATAGCAATAAGTGAAACACCTGAACATCATCTCTTTGTTCGTTTCTTTCCTTGCTTTTTCATGTATAGTATCAGAAAGCTCATGCCTGCTTCTTAACTACAAGTGTGAACTATTGGTAAATAAACCCAATTAAAAATCATTGTGAGCCCTTTAAAATTAAAGCTGGCTGGTAGTTTGTGTTGTGAATAACTTTGATAGGCTACAGATCTTTAAATCAAATGAAAAATATTTTCTAAATAATAGATTTCCCACTGCCTATATTTAATTTTTAGGTCTGAATGAGAGAAACAAAAAGCTGAAACAAGAACATTTTTCACTAGTTCAGACCTCTTTATAAAATCAAATCAAAATCAACCAGTAAGAATCTACGGGTTCTCTTTACTCTTACACATCTGTGACCATTAAGATTTAAGATTAAGAATTTAAAAAGGCAAAATAGTCAAATACTGGTTTGGGGCGATTTAGATTTTGTACATGAGCTGCTTTAGTTTTGTAGGTTTCTTCGAGCCTAGAGAAGTTTTTTTAGTATAACCCAGTGGTTCCCAACCATGGTCCTTGAGGAACACCATCCTGCATGTTTTAGTTGTTTCTCTGCTCCAGCACACCTGATTCAGTGGTTTAATTACTTCCTCATGTTCTGAAGAAGCCTGGTAATCACCCATTAATTAAAATCAGGTGTGTTGGAGCAGAGAAACAATTTAAATTTGCAGGATGGTGTTCCTCAAGGACCATGGTTAGGAACCCCTGGATAACCTACAGATGTCATCAGTTGTCCCTGTTTTCAGCTCCACATTCACCTGGATTTCTTCTGTAATCAGCACACCTGCTCTCACTTAGTAATCACCTTTCCCGGGTACCAACTCCCAGGTTGGACTCAGTTCTTCTGTGCTTGTTCTGGTTTTGTCACCTCCCAGTTGGATTAGGTGTTGCTTCTGAACCTGCCTCCTGTCTGATTGTGTTTGGAACCATCCAGCGTTACATGTAAAACATGATCAAATAATGAATCCACTGTTGGTGAGAGGATACTTCCACTCCACGATGCTGATGCAGGCCCTTCGGATGGGGTTCTTGAGTGTGAGGCAGAGCAGGGCCCGTGGCGGCCTCGTGGCTGTCGTTGTGGTTTGTTTCTTGGGTTTGGTAGTGTAGTGCTGTCTCTTCCTTTGCGTGGAGCTGGCTGTAGAAATGGGCCCGCCCCCTCCTGACCCAAGTCCCGCCCCTCCACCTGACGCGGCGTTGCCCATCATCTTCGCTTGCCTCGCAGCATCGATGGCTGCCTGCCAGCTCAGGGCCGCACCCGGCGTGGGGATGTGCTCCGGGGCAAGGCCAACCACACCCACGCCGTGGTTGACCCCTCCCCCTCCTCCACTGTGGTCACCATGGCTGCCACCGGCCCTGTGCTCGTTGGCCAGGCCGGCGGGTGGAGCACGAGGAAGAGGGGGAGGAGGAGAGTAGTCGGAGCCTGGAGTGGAGAGAAAAGACGAGGTAGAAAAAAAAAGGTTAGCGAGTCACACATTCACTGATTTCTGATCAGTCAATCAAAAAAATCACATCCCTCAGTTCATGCACTGCTTAAGTAACTTTAAATATATCATGCATGGTTCCTTAAAGTTTATTTATTGTTTCAATTTTCTGGTTTAGCAGTTTAATTTAAGTGTTTCAGCAGTTGGCATAAACAAATAAATCCTGCTCTTTTTTTACTCGTAGTGTTTCTCTCATGAGCACACCAGGTGTGTTCAGGTCTGAGAAGACATCAGACAATACCAGAAAATAAGAAAGGGAGCAATGAACAGCAGAATTATAGTAATCTGAGAGATTATGTAGTTTCACCCATACAAAAAGAGGAAGCAAAAGTAGTCGAGAGCGGATAATCCAGACAGCATGCTTAGCCAGATTAAAGACACTTTTATTATCCTCTCAGCCCCAATTCTCTGACATCTGAGCCCAGATTCTACAAATACTCACACCCTGCTACAGATTATACACTAAACATGACATTTTCGCTGGTTACCGGTTTAATTATTTGCGTCGCAAATACTATTAACTCAAAACCTAATAGGCAGCAGCTCACAAACATTATTGTATTAGTTTACCAAATGTTCCCATAGAATTGTTGATAACCAATCGATTGGATGCACAGCTCAATGAAACGACCTTGATGGAAATAAAAATATATTTTTGCAGCAGCACTTATCAAACAAAAATGTCCAACTTCAGATGTCACGTGTCCCATGTCTCTATTGAGACATACTATGACTAATCTGTATGTTATTTCAATTAAACTACAAAACATACTGCTGAAATGTAAAATACAAAACCTATTGCCAGTTTGAGGACAAGCCAAGTTTGTAAATAGAAAAATATAATTTGAAACTGAAGTATCACTTTGTGGTATTTTATACAACACTGTATAGTACTATATGTAGTGATATAACTATTTGTTCAAAATTGCACAGCTCTTTGATCAACAAGGTCCTGCTCCCTCCAAAGAGCCATATATCCCATTTCTAAACCTAACTTGCCGAACCATTAGCTCTTCAAAACGTCAAAATGTGTTCAGTGGAATCCAGTTTGTGAGAAACGGTCTTCATTTTCCCACAGATACCTTTTTAGGTCAAAAGTTATGAAAAAAATAAATGAATGACTTCCATAACCCAACAAACGTGAACCTCAGAAGCTGATGGCTCATTTGACTGTTATATTTTTACAACTTGACAAGTGGCGTAATAACGAGCTAATCAATGCGACTCATTTTACCTGCAAGTGGTTTTATTGTTGAGGCAAATTGACGCAGACTGTAATAATCAGCTGTAACTGAGTTAGGAGTGTAAGCTATTTCCCTATGAAATCCCACGTGCTTATGATGGAACAAATTAAAGGCGGGGATCAACGTTTTTCATCACACTTTGCGCATCAGTCTGCAAACTGAAAGGCCTGTCAGCACGCATTGTAGCTGAACTGGAAGTGAACCTAACTGAGCCGAACTTCAGTGAGAGCTGATCTGCAGGCTGTAATGAGCTGTGATACAAGCTAAAGTCAGTGGAGCCGTTATCTGCTAAATGATAAAGACCGGAGACAGATGCTATCACAGCAACTCTAAGCTCTCTGCCTAAAAATGTCATTGCTACAAGCACACGTTTCTACAGCTCGTTCAGTCCAGTGTTGGTCAACAGTGCGCTTCCACGGCAAATAATTAGTGGAACAAAACGCTTTAAAACGTTAAAAGTCCGCTCCTTTAATTGGCTCAACCAAATAATATACAAAGATTATGACGTGCCACCCTTTAGTCTCCTCCATCTGTATTTTCTCCCCTGAATTTATTCCAACGTCTCTTCGGGTGGACAGTGAAGACATAATTATCAGTCAATTAACTGATCATGACACCTGATCAGACACTAATTAATGGGGGGGGGGGGGGTGCACACATGCAGATGCACACTGATGTGCTTCACAGCAGCTCTGATAATGAGAAGAAAGGCGCCTCGCTGAGGTCCAGAGAACTGGGCCTAACCAGTGCTCTTCTTTCCACTTCATCGCATTCATCTGCCAGCCCAGCTAAATTGTCGTTTCTTATAAAAGGTGACCTCCTTCTGCTACTGTACTCCTTTCTCCTCCTTCTTCTGCACACACTTCCACATCACCGTTCCAAAATAATCCATCCTCCCTTCTTCCTCTAAGTCTCCTCGTTTTGCACTGTCCTGCACATTTTTCCTATTCATCCTTCTGTCTTCCGAAGCCTTCTACTCCTCCTCATCTACCCCCGCTTTTCACTTTCTTTTCTCCCTAATCTATACAGCTGTCACTCCCTTCATTGACTCTCCGGCGGCGGAGCAGTTCATTTTTTCTCCTCCTTCCATCAATTTACCCCTCCACACCTCTCCATTTTTCCGCTTCTTGTCTTTTCTTCCATCACTTCTCTCATGTTTTCTTTAAGAAGCCATATTTATTTTCTCTCCTTTGCTGTCGACCATTATGCAGCTGAAAAGGATACTAGTTTCTATGACTGATGGCTGATAAAGTACTAACTGTTGATACTTATTTGACAGAACAACACTTCAAAAAGACACGGCGATTCCTATAACCCCAGTTAATCCCATTCATTTAATGAAATTTAAACAGATACGAATAGTAAAGCACTTGGCTGAAAAGCAAACATGAGTTGCGTGCCCACGTTTACTACATAAAACTCATTTGTCTCTCGTGGTTTGTCCACATGTGCTCACAGACACACCTGCTCCTAACAGTGCACATATAAACCCATGTGAACAATATAAGACCAAAGATGTTTTATAAGACAAGGACAAACATGAGGCCGATGACAGAACTGCAATCTACTGTGTGGCATTGAACAGAAAATCGAGGAAGCACGAGTGTGCATGTCTCTACACAGTTCATACAGTTGACAAAAATAATCCCATGGGAATATGTGTCTAAAATAAGCCCCTGTGTTCCACATCCAGCAGCACTTTATTCACTGTCAGATGAACTTTTCAAGTTTGTTACTGAAGGCCTCAAACGATCAATCGTAGATTTGAGACTGATTAGCTGTGTTTGTCGTCAAGTGAAGTGAAACAAGTAAAATGTCCCTTTAAAAAAAACAAGTTATTCCATCCATGACTCATTTTCTATACCAGCTGTGTCCTGCTAAGTCTGAGGGGGACATCGAGTACCATATTTTTTTTGGATTATAAGGCGCATTAAACAAAATAAGTTCATTTTGACAGATGTTTGAGTGCCATGTGCCACATAAAATCGGTTTGAGGTCAGTAAGCACAACCAGAGTTAATACACAAAGCTCACTGTCGATTTTTGAGAAAATTCAAGGATTTTAAGTGTTCCGAAAAATGCAGTATATTTCAACTAAGACTGAGCAAAAGTTTGGCTAACACAAACGCAGCCCCACTGTTTCACACATGTGTTAGACTTAACAAAGCCCTTCATATGTACACTATTAGGCTTATAGGAGGACACTCATGTAGACGTGACATTAAAAAAAATCCACCTGATCTCAACATTTTCTGCAATGAGGCTGCGATTCAATAAACTATTACACACAATGAAAACACGTTCAGTTGCTTTTTTTCTAAGTTTTTTTTATTGTATGGGTGTACACATGTTTTATGTTATGTTTTAATTTTTACTTTATTATTATTCGCACCTTTATGTCGAAGCAAATTCCTAGTTTGTGAACCTCGTTCATTGACATGGCAACTGATTCTGATTTTTCTTCTAAAATGAATACCATAACTGTGAGGATCTGTGTCATCTGTCCTGTTCTCCTCTGTGTTTTTTCTCCACCAGCTCCAGCTCCTGCCACTCCCACCTGTGCCTCATTTTTCCCCAGGTGTCTGTCATTATCCGTCGTTTGTATTGTGTATAAGTCAGCGTCTCTGTGTTCCCCGTGTCCGCGTATTGTCCTGTAAAGGTGTTTGGTTCTGTCTCCTTCCATGTCTCCTCGTTCCCAGCTCTCTGTGAGTATTGCTTCCTTGTTAGCATGTTATTTTCCGTTAATAAATATTATTCTTAAATTTCCCTGCGAGTACCCTGTACCTGCCCTTGCACCTTGGGTTCAACACACATTAACAGTAACCTGACAATAACTTCAGAAAATCACTCAAAATAGATTACAGAAACTGTAAGACTTAAGTGAAGGCTAACTAAAGGCTAAAGATAAGAATGTGTCATTCTGAGCTCTTCAATAATCAAAGACTCAAGTTAGTCACTCAGCAGGTAATTTGAAAAGTCTAAACCAAACTCAAACCAAGACTAAATGTGAGAGGATGCATTTTATGTTTTAGTCTGGATTATGACTAACTCAAAAAATACCTGAAAATATGTCGCTCAAATTTGCAAATGTATGAGATTCACTAATCCAGTTCCAAAAACAAAGAAATCCTGCCTTTTTGTTTTTATAATTCTTCAAGTCATGGTGCAATCATTAAAGTTGAGGAGATGACACATTCACTTTTATTTGGGTTTATGCTCTAACCTACAAACTCTCAGTGAAAATCGTTTATTTCGCTTAACTTTAGCACGAAAAGAGCCGCATCAGCACTTCGTCAAGAGTTTTTATGTTCAGACAAGTAAATCTGTTTTACTCTTGTCTCTTTAAAAAATGTTTTCTCAACTGGATGGTGAAAAGTCCAGCTTTCTTTCAGTAAGGGTTAACAGAATTCAGTACAAAAGCCTGTACGTGTCTTACAGACATGTTTAATTGCAATTTCAAGTTTATTTTTTGTGATAACTTCACAAATACTCAAGCTCACAAAGCCATTAAAACTGTAAAAAATAGATTTACAAGAGACTGGTTTAAAATCCAAAGTAGATTTTTTTTTGTAAATGTATGTTTGTTACAGCTAATCGTGTCAAATGACCAAGATTTACTATGTGCAAGACTGTTGCATTATGGGTTATTCAATATGGATGAAAGTGTAACGCACTCGGTCCTCTAACTGATATCTC